TCCTTCTCCTCCTCCTCCTCCTCCTCCTCCTCCTCCTCCTCCTTCTTCTTCTCCTCCTTCTCCATACGCCGCATGTTACGTGGCATCCAAAGAGTGCGACCTTCTGCCAAAAAGTATTATGGGGGTTTAGAAATAATGCCGACAGATATGAATATAAGATCTGATATGAGGGAGATTTATTTTACTTTTTTCTATTTCGCCGTCTTCATCCTTCACCCCTTCTTCTCTTCTTCTTTTCTTATTTTCCTTCTACTACTTCATCGTCTTATTCAGTTGTTATTACTACTTTTTGTGATATCTAATACCCCGCTTATTATTTTTTATTAGTATAGTTTCACCCATTTACGCGTATTCCCAGTTGCCCCTCTCTGTTACGTCGTAGGCCTAATGACCCTTGTCTTTTATTAAAGTCACGAGGCCTTAAAATCACCATCAAATCAGAGGCCATTATGCCATTAAACACTCCTATTGGTTAATGCGGTTAGTGACGTCATTGCTTCGGTGTGCCGTGATTGGCTGGCTTCAGAACGGAGGATTACGAGTGGAACGGAAATCGTTTTAGTTTTCAGTTTTATTATTGTGCGAATCTGGTTTTACTGTATATCTTTCTGGATAGTTTTATGATATGTTTTTATACTGGTTGATGATGATTACATAAGAATTTGATTATGGTGTTTGAATTATTTTCGATTGATAATGGTTGTTCTGTCACAAATTTTAATGTATTTTTTTCAGTTTGATTTATTGTGATAACGATGATGCACTGATGATAAAGCTAAAACAGCCATGATTTTATTGATTCAATTATAATAATGTTTTTTTTTCTGTTTCTTTGCAGGTACGTACACAAACTTCTGCCGATCGTGCGTTTGTTTGTTTGCCGTTTGATATGGATTACTGGTAGAGGTAAGGGAGGTGTTCTCTCTATCGCTGTTATTTCGTTGTGGAAGGATTTTTTTCTTTCCTGTGTCGGTCGCGGGGTTACGTTTCCTTTTATGGTCGATGGTCATGGTTTATTTTAAATTTTGTACTGATAGTTTTGTCTCCGTATGTGATCGTGTTTCTCGTGTATCCCCTTATCTGTGTTGTTCCTGTGTACTTTTATATCCCCCCCAACCTCTTTTTGCATTTTGCATAGTCATTCTTTCCTCCCACTTTTTCCTTTTCCTTCCCTTTCTCCTCTTCCTCCTCCTCCTCCTCCTTCTCCTACTTTTTCTCCCCCTCTCTCTCTCCTCTCCTCTCTTCTCCTCTCTCCCTCTCTCCTCCCCCCCTCCTCCTCCTCCTCCTCCTCCTCCTCTATCTATCCATCTGTCTGTCTGTCTATCTGCCTCCCTCCCGCTCTCTCTCCCTCTCTGTTTTCTCTCGTTTTTCTCTCTTCCTACCCCTTTCCGCCCTTCATAATCGTTTACCCTTTCACCCCATCTGTCTCGGCCTCCGCCGAAAACGTGCGAAGCGGTTGTATACTGTTTACCTGGTTTGTTTACATTGCGTGCGTGTACCTGGCTGTACCGGCTGTTGATGCTCTGCATCAGCTTTGCTGGTACTGGTCTCCTGCGCCCACATCACACACGCACCACTCCCGCTTACTCCTGCCCACTCCCGCCAACGCCCACTCTCCCACTCGCTCCTTCCTCCCTTCCTCCTTCACCCTTTCCTCCCTTTCTCCCTTCTTCCCCTCCTCCCTTCTTCCCCTCCTCCCTTCTTCCCCTCCTCCCTTCCTCCCTTCCTCTTTCGCCCCTCCCTCTCTCTCTCTCTCCATCCGGTCTGTGAGAAACGAGCGTTTAGGGTTGGTACTCTCCGTGTGTTCGTTCTCTCCTCACGCCACCTCCCCTCTCCCCTCTCTCCTCTCCCCTTTCTCCTCTCTCCTCTCTCCTCTCTCTCTCCTCTCCCCACAATTTGCGATGGGAGGGGATCAGAGAGGGAAAGTTGGGATGGGGGAGATGGGTGACGGGAGCTTACAGAAGGTATTGTGCTGGGGAACGTTGTGCCGTGTGACGTCATAGTTGTTTATAAACATTACCACGTGGTGACAGGAGCAGCACGAAGAGGAAGCCCATGTACTCTGGGCGAACTGGTTTCTCTCTCCCTTCTCTTTAGTTCTTGCCCCCCCCCCCCCCCCCCCCCGCCTGTCCCCCCCCCTCCCTCCCTCTCTCTCTCTCTCTCTCTCTCTCTCTCTCTCTCTCTCTCTCTCTCTCTCTCTCTCTCTCTCTCTCTCTCTCTCTCTCTCTCTCTCTCACGCACACACACACACATACACATACATGCACACACATACATGCACACACATTTGTGTGTGGGTGTGTCTTTCCTCCTCTTTCCTGTGCGTCTCCCTTCCAACCTTCATTTCCCGTATCTCACTTCATTCCTCTCTTCCTCCATTACCTTTTATCCTGTCCCACTGCGGTTCTCTCCCTCTTTTAATTTTCCCATCCCGCTCCGTCTTTCTTTCTCTCTCTTTCTGTCATGTATCGGTGTGTGTTGCAGATTGCCTAGAGAGCATCTGAAAGGCCCGTGATGGCTGTGTTATTGCAATGACTCAGGCCATTGAGCGTGTCAAGAGGCTCGGCTGACGTGCGGCTATCAGCTGTCCCGCCTCAGCTGACGACGGCCCAGCCAGCGAACTCGAACAAGCGAGCGAAGAGGCGAGTTAGTTCATGTGCACACACGGAGGAAGGAATTAACGAGCACGTACATGCACGCACGCGCACACACACACACACACACACACACACACACACACACACACACACACACACACACACACACACACACACACACACACACACACACACACACACACATTTGGAACCCCCCTCCCTTAAATGCCTTGTGGGGAGCGGTGATACCTAAATGTTTTAATGTTTGTCTACGCCCGTTTGGCCTTACCGACTCACCTGCCACGCCCGTCACGGACTGAGGGACGCCCTTTGCGGCATAGCGCTTCTCACCCTTCCTCACATATATGTATATTTGTATTTAAGTATTTATGTATTTATGTATTTGTTTGCTACGTGTTTGTATGCACACTTTTTTCAAATTGACTTCTATTTATATCAGTCCTTCTCACTTCCCGCGTCATCCCACACGCGCCTTTACCCCCCCCCCCCCCCCCCAGACAGCCTGCGTGCCAGCGTGCACAGCGCCATTCCGCAAGCTCGGGATGCCTCAATGGCGGCGCCTGAAAGCGCTCGCTACGGTCACGGGTGAGGGTGGTTGGGAGGAGGTGGTGGGCGGCGACTGGGAAGCGTGTCTCGTGCTTGCTTTCAGTGCCAAGATGGTGGGAGATTGATGGGGTTGCGGGCATGGCATCGGTTGATAAAATTGGATAGATGATTGGGTTGCTGGGGAGGAGGGAGGGCGTCGGGTGCAGGGGGAGAGGGGAGGGGTGGCACGACTCTGGGATGCAGAAAGGAGGACGAAGGGTAACAAAGAGAGAGAGAGAGAGAGAGAGAGAGAGAGAGAGAGAGAGAGAGAGAGAGAGAGAGAGAGAGAGAGAGAGAGAGAGAGAGAGAGAGAGAGAGAGAAATGATGGGATGGGCAGCGGTGCAGATGGCATCGGCTCGGAGATAGTTATAGATGGAGGCTGATGGCATTGTGCCAACCAAAGGCCTCTGGTGGTTATGAGAAGTAGGAGGTAGGGAGGAAGGGCAGGAAGGGGCAGGGGATGGGGATGGGGTAGGGGCACGGGCTGGAGGTACGGGGGAAAGGCCGTATTAATGATCTAACCTACCTGTGGATGTCTCAGTGGCAGCGGGGGCGCGCTCAGGTAGGCGTGGGTGAGGGGAGTCTGGCTGCAAAGGGAGAGGGGAAGAGCGCCTCAGTAGGCAGAAAGGGGGCACAGGACGGCAAATAGGGCAGAGGACAGTCGTTCAAGAGGGCATAGGGTATATGGAAGCGGAAGATGCATGCCGCTTTCGAGGTTGTCGGCTAGAAAGCACGGGACGGGAGGGAGGGGAAGGGGAGGGGAAGGGGCACGCTAGGGCGCGGGTATGGGAGGGTACAAGAGGGTGGAGTGCAAGGGGCGCTTGATCAGTTACTCGACCACCTTCGCTGCTCTCGCTAGTCCTCTCCCTCACCTCTTTCACTCACTCGCTTCTATCATCCATTCAGTCCCTTAGCCTCCCATCCACGAACCGCTCCTTCCCGCCCACCCGCCCAACGACCCAGCTCGGCCACACACGACCTTCGTGGGCCCCCCTAGCATCACCGCCTGCGGCCGGAGTACCTCACGCCCTGGGAAACCACGACGGGGGTTTATATTGAAGCGAGAGGGCCGCGACGGCCCTCGCAGCGCCTTCAGGGCAGTGCCACGGCCGGCGCCCTCGGCGCACTGGTCCCATTTGATGCGACCGCGCCCAGTCGGCTCACAGACCGTACTACAGCGGGCGTTGCCACGAAGCTCAGGAGGACGCGGTCGCAGTGATCACCGCCGCACACCTTCCGCCCTAAGCGCTGGGACGTGCTAGGAGACAGGCACCGAGAACCTCCGGGTTTTGTTTCGCTTGAAGCCGGAGTGCCACGGACGCCGCTGGAGCCCGAGTACAACAGGATACCCTGCTTAGAGGGCCACCTCTGGGAGTGCATTCCCGCAGTGCCAACGGCTGAGTGCCATGGGAGTGCAGTGACGAACAGGCTCAGAGTGTGAGTGAGCGACGGTGCTAGTGCCCGCAACGCCTGCGGGTGGAGTGCCCGCCGCAGAGTGCCTCGCAGTGCCAAGCGGTCAGACACCTAGAAAACCCGAAGAGCGAGTCAGGGTTGGTGCGAGTTTGTAGCTGTTGTTTCTGTGCTGTTGTTGTCGTTGTCGCCGCCATCCCTCTGTTGTCGTTGCGCGAGCGCGGGCGGGCATGAGTGAGCAGGTGGCTACGGGGGAGGGTGGTGGGAGGGCCTGGGGCGTCAACGCGGCTGCTTTGCACGGTGCCTGCACGCCCGCCCATCACGCCCACCACCCGCTGTACGCCGAGACCGCCCACATGAACACTGGCGGCGTAACCTGCAGCGCCATGTCCACGCAGGGCCCCACCGTGACCTACAGCGTGCCGCCGCCGCCCTTGTGCCCGCACGCGCCCCCGCCCGACGCGTACCCCGCCTGCGCCCTCTGCGCCGCACGGGACCACCCGCCGCCCACCCTCCACCATCACGGTACGCCTGTTCCGCCCGCGAGCGCGGAGGAGGCGCGGACGCTCGCCCTGCAGCTGCGGGCGGCGGCTATTCTGAACAAAAGCGAGCTGGCTGTTCCCGTGGCCACCTTCCACCTCTCAGTGCCGCCCCCGCCCACGCCCACGCCCGCGCCCGCGCTAGCTCTCCCGCCGCCCGCTTTCCCCTACCCCCCGCCCACACCCACTAGCACGTCTTACGAGGACGCCGTGGGCGTACACACCGCGTGCGAGAGCGCCCCCTTCAGTGTCCACGGCGGCGGCCCAGGCTCGCCCTCCTGCCATTATCACCCGCCGCCCACGCCCACCCTAACGCTCGCGCTCGCGACCGCCTCCAGCACCAGCCCCCTGCCCGCCCCAACCTCCCCCTGCCCCTCCATCTCCTCCACCTGTGCCTCCACCATGGCGCTCGCCTCCGCCACGGCCTCCACCACCAACTCCATCCCTGACGGCGTCCTTGACTCGCCGTCTTCTTCCTCAGGTCAGTCTTGTCTTGTGGCTCTGGACGGTCAAGGCACTCGACCCCTCCCCACGACCCCCCACCGCCCACAACCCTCCCCTCCTCCCCCGCCCCCTCCCTTCCTCCCCGCCCCCCTCTCTTCTCTTATATTGCAGCAGCGCTTTGTGGAAGAGGAAGAGGAAGAGGCCGATGTTAATTGGCCTGCAAGAGGGAGGGGAAAGCGGTCGTCGTCATTTTTTCTTTTTCTTTTTTGGTTTATGTATTTATCCTTTTCTTCGTTTTCTGTCTTATAAAAATATTTGTTCTTCTTTTCTCACATAAGATTCATTTTTCTTTGACTTTACTTTCTTTTGTATATGTGGAGTTTGATGTGATAGAAGGGAAAACGACCCCCTCCCCCTCCTTCTTTCACCCCCCCCCCCTCCCGCCCTCCTTCTTTCACCCCCCCCCTCCCGCCCTCCTCCCTGCCAATGAAATCGTAACAGGATTCGCCCGCAAAGTAACGCTATTGTCATTGTTACGTATAACTTCAAGCGATCACTGTCATTTTCGATACTTTGTTCCCTTGTAATATGTTAATCCGCCCATGACTCCGCCTATTGACCCGCCCCCTTTTGCCCTTCCCCTCTGATTTTTTTTCTTCTCTTTCCTGTTATTCGATGGGCGTGTGCACGCGTGTACGATTTTGTGTGTGTGTGGTGCTTGCGTATGTGTGTGTTTGTACATGTGTATGTACATGCTTACGGACCTGTTTGTCTGCCTGTCTGCATTGTATGTCTGTCACTGTGGCAAAGTATATGGCTATATGCGTATGTGAGTGCCCATATATGTATGTATGCACGTATAAGTGTGTGTAAGCGAGTGAGTGAGAGGGTCGCACACGCCCGCCACTATGTATAGATAATTAGTTTTCAGGTGAGTGCAGCAGCGTGTGGAGAGGCAGGAAAGCCAGGCTGAGTTTCCGTGCCGGTGCCACGGTAGGTCATTGCTGCTGTGAGGCTGTGTGCTCGTGTGTCTCTGTTCACCCCCCCCCCCCATCCACCCACTCTTTGCTGTGTGGGGATGTGGGGGCGTGTTTCGCTTTACACCCTCTTTTTTTTGGGTGTGGTGTTGACCCACGAACCCTCACCCTCCTCGTTATTTCATAGAGTTGAGGGCGTTTACACCCCCCCCCCCTTTCCTTTTTGGATGCTGTGTTCTTAAGGATCGCTGTGGCTGTGAACGCACCTTTCCTGCGTCTTGGTGCTGTGAGCATCCACGTCTCCTTTGAAACTATTGTTTTGTTGTGGTTTGACTTCAATAATAATGCACATTACCATAATCTATTGGACGTGTTGGTGTTTTTAAATATTTTTATTTTCTTTTTCTGCCTTCTGGGACCTAGGAAGAATTTTTTCGTGGCATTTCTTTGTTTCTCTTTATATCAGAAAGAACCTGTTCATACTGTGTAAGGTTGGCGTTTTAATAATGACTATTTCCGATTTGTTTTACGAAATAGCTCATGTGATGCATTGTTTATTTGTATATTTTATTGTGTTTATATAATACTCACTCTTTGTTATGTTTTTTTTTCGTTAAGTTTTTTTTTTGAGATATTTATGGCATGGGTGATTTCCTTGCCAGTGCCTCCTCATAGACGTCTTTGCTCTGGCAGTGCCCCCGCAAGTTAATTTCCCCTCTGGCGGGTTTTTGCATAGGCGTCTTCTCCCTGATAATGCCTTGCCATAGTTACATTTCCTTCTTCTTCTTCTTTTCTTTTTCTTCTTCTTCTTCAGTTCTTCCCTTCTTCTACCCTCCTTCCCTCCCTCACTCCCTCTCTCCCCTCTCCCCTCTCCCCTCTCCCCTCTCCCCTCCTCCCCGTGATGAAGTGGCTTGTGGACGCCGAAC